TGGGGAAGGCCTGGCTTGGGGGAGGGGAGCCTCACGGGCTGTGCCCCCCTTCCTGCTTCATCCCCCCTGGGCTAATCCCCAAAGATTAACCCCAGGGAACAAAGCCAGGTCACAGCCACTGACCCAGGGCTTTGGAGCGAGCATCCAAGGCTAGGGTGACCGGGTGTTTGCAGGGTACTGAGGCTGCCCTGTGGGGCCCTCTGTGCCTCAAGATGAGCCTTCTGTCCCCCACCCTGGACATGGTCCTCACGGCGGTCCTCAGCCTCCTCCTCCTGATACTGACATTAAGCCTGCTCTTTTTTTTCACCTGCCGCCTGGCCAGGCCCCTCAGGTAGGAGAACTCACCAGGGCCCAACTCCCCTGCCTCCAGATCTCCTGCCCTAAACTCATTTGTCTACTATTTGCTCTTGTGGAATAAAGGGCGGGCGGGCGCTGGTCTCTCTCCTTCTCCGTGTTGGGGAAACTGAGGCCCAGAAAGGCTGAGTCAGCCTGGGCTTGAATTGCACTTGGCCACGGATAGCTGAGATCCTTCGCTCAGTTTCCTAAACTGTCAAGCGGGCTAACCATACTTGCTGTGAGCAGTAAGTAACATCACAGATGTCAACAGTTAGCACAGTGTTCAGCACAACGTGTGTGCCCAAGGAATGGTAGTGATTTTTATCTGGCAATTGTCCTGGACCTTTTGAGACCTAGACGCCCAGGACTGGCTTTTTCCTGACTCCTAGGGGCTCCCATGTCCTCTGCCCCAGCTCAGTCCTTAGGGCCCAGGCCCCACCCCTCTGCTCTTTCTCCTGACCTGCCAAGTAGTTGCTCCTTCTCCGGGGCCCAGAGCCCAGTCAGGACTTCTGCATAATTGTCATGAATAATCAGGGCATGTAGCTGGGAGCCTGGCAGAGACAGTCCAGCTGGGAGGTGGGGGGCAGTGGGGCTGGCTCACCCTTGGAGGCTCCATTCTGAGCTCGTAGAGCATTGGCAGAGGGTGGTGGGCAGCTGGGGCCTCTGCGGCCCCAGACTGGGCCCCACGGAGTCCATCCCCAGGGCTGCGAGAGAGCAGACTTGGAGACTCAGGGTGGGGGCAAGAGCGGGAGCCAGCAGAGCAGATTCTGGCTTCTGAAGGCTTTAGATTCCAATCCCCTCTCCTTTTCGGGCAGAGGCAGTGGGAGAAGGCACCTGTCTGTCTCTAGGACAGGGGTCTAAAGACCACATCCCTGGGGTCAAAATTCCAGAGCATTCCAGCCTGAATCCTGAGGCTTTTCATTAAGTTAGCATTTACAGAGCTGCTTCTGTGTGCGTAGGGTTGGGGATTCAAAGATGTGGAGTGGTGTTTACTCTCACAGAGCATCAGGCTAGCAGGGAAGAGAAATAAGAATAATCATGCAGGCTGGATGAGCCCTGTAGATCTCCTGGAGCCACGCTTCACTTTTGTTTTTCCTTATTTTCTTGTTTGTATTGGATGGAGAGAGAATTAAGTCCTATTTCTCAGTGCATGGTGCACTATCATGAGCCTTGATTTTTTTCACAAAGGAGATCATGGCAAATAATAATAATAATAATAATAATAGTAATAATAAAGGAGATCATAGACCCCCTCTGTCCACTACATAGGTTATTAGTGAGAAATCATGGTGAAAGTCATTATAAACAGAAGTGCAGTACACAGGTCATTTTCATGTTGTCTGTGTTTATAGATTATTTATAGATCGTTTAGGTACGCTCTCAGAGAGTAGTGCTCTTATTTTATTGAAGTATAATATACATTCATACAGGAAAGTGTCCTCATCGGGGCGCCTGGGCGGCTCAGTCGGTTGAGCGTCCAACTTCCGCTCAGGTCATGATCTCGCGGTCTGTGGGTTTGAGCCCCGCGTCGGGCTCTGTGCTGACAGCTCAGAGCCTGGAGCCTGTTTCAGATTCTGTCTCTCCCTCTCTCTCTGCCCCTCCCCTGCTCATGCTCTGTCTCTCAATGATAAATAAATGTTAAAAAAAAAGAAAGTGTCCTTATCCATACATTGACAGCTTATCGGGTTTTCAGACAGAATGCACCCATGTAACTAGCTCTCAGATCAGTCGCAAGTCCTCTGTGCCCCCTTCGGTCTCCACAACCCCAAGTGTAACCTTTATCTTGTCTCCTAACACCTAGCTTTGTCTTCATACTTTATCATGACTTCTGTACTCTCGGATTGGCTTCCTTCATTCAACCGTCCCTTTGCAAGATGTTGTTGTATGGATTTGTCCATACTCACTGTTGTGTAGTTTTCCAGCCTGTGAACCCACACAACGTATTTATCCATCCTGCTGAAGATGGAACTATTCTGAGGCCGTTACAAGCAGGGCTGATATGAATGTTCCCATCGATGTCTTTTGGTGAACACGCGCGTGTGCGCGTGCGTGCGTGTGTGTGTGTGTATCTCTGTTGGAGATAAATGGGTTAGAGGGCATAGGTACAGTGTCAGAGAGAGACAGAGCATGAACGGGGGAGTTTTCTTTTTTTTAATGCTTATTTTTTTTGAGGGAGAGAGACAGAGCGCAAGTACGGGAGGGGCAGGAGAGAGAGAGAGAGAGGGAGACACAGAATCTGAAACAGGCAGAGCCCCACACGGGGCTCATACTCCAGAATGGCAGGATTGCGACCTAGGCTGAAGTCAGACGCTTAACTGCCTGAGCCACCCAGAAGCCCTGATGCTGCTTTTCCCAAGTGGCTGTACCCGTCTACGCTCCTCCAGCAGTGAATGGCCGCTCTAGGAATACCATCTCCTTGCCAACACTTGCATTTTCTGCACACACAAAGGAAGGATTTGGGGTTGATTCTTCCCTTCCCCCTGCCTCCCTCTTTAGAGCATTAGCTTTCAACTGATGTCAGTATTTACTGTGTCAAGCATTGGAGTATGAACAAACAAGGCAAAGTCCCTGCCTTTAGAGACTCCCAGTGTGGTGGCGGAGATGGACCAGAAAAGAGTTACTTTCAAAACAGGTACCGACATACAATGATTGATGTGGCCACTGGGATGAGTGGCCATCCTGAAGGCTTCCTGAAAGAAGGCGACTTTGGTTTTTAAGCCATTTGGAATAATATTATAATGTATTGATATTGTGTAATAATTTTTTTAAGTTTATTTTAAGAGAGAAAGTGAGCACACGTGAGTGGGGGAGGGGCAGAGAGAGAGAGAGAGAGAGAGAAGGAGAAAATCCCAACTCACAGCTCCATTTCACAAACCGTGAGATCATGACCTGAGGTGAAATCAAGAGTCGGACACTTAACCGACTGGGCCACCCAGGCGCCCCGATATTGTATATCAATTTACTAACATTTTTTTCTGATGTTAGGGTTTACTCTAGAAACACTTGAAAACAAAAGCAGAGTAAAAAGAAATCAGGGGGCTCCTGGGTGGCTCGGTCGCTTAAGCATCTGACTTTGGCTCAGGTCATGATCTCACAGTTAGTGAGTTCAAGCCCTGTATCTGGCTCTGTGCTGACAGCTCAGAGCCTGGAGCCTGCTTCAGATTCTATGTCTCCCTCTCTCTCTGCTCCTCCCCTGCTCACGCTCTGTCTTTCAAAAATAAAACATAAAAAATAAAAATAAAAAAAAAGAGAAATCAGAAATCGTCTGAAATTCCACCTCAGAGTTAAGTGCTGGTAGATGTCAGATGTAGAGTATTTCCTTTCAATTCCCTCCTGCCCCATCAAGCTGGGTTTTTAAGGGAGTCAGATGGATGTGGAAGAGGGGTGGTAAAAAGCACAGGGGTGCAAATGAATGGCACATTTGGTGACTGCTGGATGTTTTGTGGGTGCGATACCGGTGAGCCCTCACCTCTGGGCACTGAAATGCAGGGCGCACGTTTTAAAGATTGAATCAAGACCCCCTTTTCTAGGGGCAGAGTGGTTTCTTATCTAACGTGACACTCAACTGTACAATGTTGAGCATTGTTGCCATTTCCCACGACAAATGAAATGATCATTTTTATCTGGGTTTTGGTGGCAGTACTATTTTCCTGTGAAACTCTTGCCATTTAAAATTTCTCATCTTCCAGCAACATTTATGCACAACAGGGTTAGTACATTTCTCAGCTGCAATTGGGGTTATCCTTTGTGATCCTGACAGTATGACCACAGTTTAAAAACTTTCTTATGCCATTTCATACATGCTTATTTTAGGCAATTTGGAAAATTCAAAAAAATAATAATAAAGAGAAGAGTAAATAATCATTCATAGTCTTCCTGCCCATAAAAAACCACAGTTAATGTTTTGATGTATTTCCTTCTAGAGTGTGTGTGTGTGTGTAACAGTTTTTTAAAATTATAAAGGTAACATCTTTATTTGGGAAACGCAGAAAAGACAATGAAAAAGCAACCGAGCCATCTGAAATGTCACCACCCAGAAATGGGCACCTTCAGTAGCCAGTCTTCCTGTGTATCAGTTCTATTCCTTTTATATCTCTCACCATAAATGACAAGCTCTAGAAGAGAATGTGGCAAGTGTGGTTGTCTCTAACAAAGGGTGGACTCTGTTGTGTCTCCAGTGTGCTTGGGAAAGGTAATTCAAAGGCTAAAGACTGGTTCAGAACCAGGAGCAGGAGCATCCTTACCTGGGAGCTTGTTGGAACCGCACTCGATTCTGGGCGATGGCAGGTGGATACTGGGTCTATTTTAACAAACCCTCTAAGAGCCCAAAATGCATGCTGCGTTTTGGGAAGCATTATACAGAAAGACTGAACTCTGGTGGGTTCCAGGCTCCAGATGGACTGAGAGTGGGAGTTCACTTGGAAAATGGGGAAGGAACCATTTTGCTTCATGGAACTCGTGTATTATACTGCCACAACTGTATGTGCTTAAGCTTCCTGAGGGAGGGACCATTGGGGTTTACATCCTAGTGCCTAGCCCTGTGCCTGATTGGTGATAAGTACTCAACATATAATGAACGAATGAGTGAAAGTATGACTGGATGGACAAATGAATTCTGGAGCTGTGGCCCACATGTCTTTTTTTCCCCCCTTTAATTTCTAGGATCGGAACATCGGTTAGCATCTGACCACTGCCAGCCCATCCCCTCCCACCCACGTTGGTCATACCTCTGGGCCCGAGAGAGAAAGCAGGTCTTGGAGTGCACCATGATTTCTCCATTCTTGGTGCTGGCCATTGGCACCTGCCTTACCAACTCCTTAGTGCCAGGTACGATGGAGGACCCAGGCGGAAGGGTGGGGAAACCTGGTGCAGGTGGGATAGGATGAGGGCAGTGTCTGTGTTGAAGGTCATAGAACTGTCCAAGTTAACAGCTGCAGATAAATGTTCACAGAGCAGGAGCCCCCAGCTCTGCTACTGCACGTCCTAATGTTGGACGGGCCACTCTTTTTATATTATCCTCCTCTTCCTTAATTGGGGCATAAACTATTCCAAGTCTTGGGAGGCTAAGTCTGCTGTTGGTTTTGTCTATTTAACTCTCCCTCATGGTGATACGTTTCCTTGTGGTTGGTAATTTTTGCTGGTGAATTTGATAATTTCATTTTTTGTTGGTTATTGGAGACTAACCTACAAGTGTTTCTATGGTGCAGTGTTGTGTTTGATTCTTCAACTGATTCTGGACAAGTTTTTTCTAGACAAGTTAATTCCTCAGTTTTGAGTTCTTACACTATAACTTTGGACCCCCACTTAGACCGGGCTCAGATCTGGAGTGTTATCCACGTTTCCAAAGACTGGCCTTCTTTCCCCATCCCTTCCGTAGCTCCAAGTTAACATATGCACGTTACCAACCTAGACCTGTATCTGGTCGGACACCCCAGGGCCACTCAGCAGCAGCCCCAAGTGGAAGAAGGGAGCCCATCTTGGCTCAGGCCACTATGTGGGTAGAAGTCCCTGGTTGCCCTCCCAGAATCTTAGTTTCTCCATCTGCCGGGTGGAGACAGTAATTCCTCCTCCTTACATCTGTTATAAGAATCACACAGTATTGACGCACCTGGGTGGCTCAGTCAGTTGAGCGGCCGACTTCAGCTCAGGTCGTGATCTCACAGCTCGTGAGTTTGGGCCCCACATCAGGCTCTGTGCTGACAGCTCAGAGCCTGGAGCCTGCTTCGGATTCTGTGCCTCTCTCTCGCTCTGCCCCAACCCACTCGAATTCTGTCTCTATCTCTCAAAAATAAAAAAAATAAAAGAAAAAAGAATCACCCAGTATAGTCAGTGTCAGGCAGGGAGTGGGTTCTCTTAGGAAGAATATTTTCTTCTTTTTTTTAAATGTTTATTTTTGAGAGAGAGAGAGAGAGAGAGAGAGAGAGAGAGAGAGGGAGGGAGCAGGGGAGGGGCAGAGAGAGGGGGAGACACAGAATCCAAAGCAGGCTCCAGGCTCTGAGCTGTCAGCACAGAGCCCGACGTGGGCTCAAACTCACGAACCATGAGATCGTGACCTGAGCCAAAGTTGGACGCTTAACCAACTGAGCCACCCAGGCACCCCAAAAATATTTTCAACAGATGAGGAAATTAGGGTTCAGGGAAGGGACTGGCCTTCCTCGGGGAGAGAGTCAGGGCTAGGGATAGAACCTGAGCTGCTGGATCCCCAGGCCATCACCCCCTCTGTGGTCCCATGATGCCTTTCGGTGTGTATCCTTGGGGACCAGCGGTGGCTCTAGGACCAAGTCCCTGCTTTCTCAGCACTCATAGCCCACCTGGGTGAAAGGTGCATGAAACAGATGGATGAAAAGTGAAAAGATGAAAAAGCAACGAAATGAAAACTCTTCAAATATTCAGCAATTCAATCTTTTGTATTTGTTCCTTTTTAGACATTCCATTGGGTGTGTGATGGCATTAGCTTGTCCTCTCACTCTTTTTTAAGTATAGCTTAAAGTAAAGTGCACCAATTTAAAACGCATAGCTTGATGAGTTTTTACGTATTGTATGTCCTTGTAACCACCACCCAGATTAAGACAGAACATTTCCAGTCTTGGGACACTTAAGGGCCTTCCTGTGTGCTCCCCAAGCAACCCTACCCCCAAGCCAAAATGACACAGGCTCACTCCTGCCACCGTAGATGAGTTCTGCCTGTTTTAAACTTCATGTGAATGGAATTATACAGTACACATTGACAAGTACTTTTCATGTGGCATTATATTCTGAGCATTTGTGCATGTCATTTAATGTTCTCCAAAAACAATGGCCTTTTGATACTTGGTTGTCCAAAGCCATGATTGCTCAAGTCAGTCCCCTGACAATGAAGTTGGTTTGACATCCACTAAACCCTTCTCAGGTTCAGGCCCTAGGGTGGCTCTGGTGAAAAAGACTGAACAGTCTCTCAGTCCCCAGGGACCAACCACAGTGGGAAAACTGGCAAACTGGGATCAGAGCTTGAGTCAAGACGAAGGAATAAGTGCAGGGAGGCTGATGCCAGTCCAGCCCCTGGGGGTCTGCCAAGCTGTTGGGGAAGGGGGAGGGAGGGCCTGGTTATAGGAAAATCGAGACGGCAAGAAGTTCATCACCACCCAGATGGCACCCAAATGGCCGAAGAAGCTCCTTGACCAAAGCCTTGCCACTGTGGTATGCGTGGAGGGAGGCAGGAAGGAGATGGGAACCAGCGCTGAGCCAGTGGGATCCCTGATCAAAACCACTGGCTCAGGCATTTGTTGAGACGTCATCTCAGTCCTAAAACTGTCTATGCACTCCCGTTTTCCTGGGGGGCAGAAACTCAAATGGAGAGAACTTGCCTAAAGGTATACAGCTAGATAAAAGGGCCGAGGCTCTCCAGACTCCAGCTGGGGACTCCGCCTGTGGGGTCTGAAATGGGTGAGCTCAGCAGATACCTTCGGAAGAGGGGCAGCATTGGAGGCTGCCATGGTGAGGAGGTGGGCTTGGCTCCTGGGCCTCTGCTTGCAAGAGAAACAGATTCCAGGGGGCATCTGGGTGGCTCAGTCAGTTAAGCCTCAGACTCTTGGCTTTGGCTCAGGTCACGATCACATGGTTCCTGAGATTGAGCCCTATCTCGGGCTCTGCGCTGACAGCACGGAGCCTACTTGGGATTCTGCCTCCCTCTCTTTCTGCCCCTCCTTCTGCTTGCTCTCCACCTCTCTCTCAAAATAAACAAAAATAAACTTAAAAAGAAAAATAAAGGGTGGGGGGATTCCAGTTCTGGCCTGGAATTACTGGGGGTGGGGGCGGGGAATGTTGATCTCCTGTGGGTCAGGAAGTCAATTTCTCGAATCCAGCCCTCCTCGTGACCCTGGGAGGAATAGACAAAGAACCACATCTGACAGGGAAGGAAACGGAGACTCAGGGAGGTGACCTGGCCACACGGGGGTACTTGGCGTAGTTGTGGTTTCCACTGAAGTCTGTCGGGCACTACAGTTGCGTTCTTTCTGGACTACATGGGGGGCGGGGACGGGGGCGGGGAGAAGAGCATTCCTGGTTCCCAGTGTTTCTCAAGGTTAGGGACACAGAACAGGCTCTTTGCTAATTTATCCTAACAGGAATAAGATTGTGCGTGGCTACTTTAAATTTGATTCATTAAACAAAAGGCAAGTCCTGCTTTCCAGTACTGCTATCGATGCTGTTGGTAACTCAGGTTTCTGCTGACTTTAATGATTAAGCCAAGCAGAGTTGATCATTGATGGCTGGATACATCTGGGGACTCCTTCAGGTGAAAGTAGTTCTCTCGGACAGATTAAACATTACCCTCCCGATTGTGCTTGCACAGTTAATTCATTTGCTGCCTTAGCAGAATGTCTCTACTGGGTGGAAGGAAACAGCATGGGTTTTGGAGAGTGGAGCCAGAGCTGTGTGGCCTTGGGCAAGGTGGCTGGCATCTCTGGGCCTCGGTTTCTTCAGTCTGAGACATGGGGAGAAGGCCCAGCGTCCACAGGCTTGTTTGGAGGGTTGGCCTGGCAACTGTCGACAAGCCACCTGGTAGCCGTCTGAGACTGACGGCTGCTGCTTCCTCCCCCAAGTCCAGGCAGTCCTGCCCTCAGGCACGAGAAGTTGGGGGTCTGTAATGTCTGGGGATGGGAAGCTGCCCCCCATCCCTGCCGGATAACTCTGCCTCTCTGTCTATATAGAGAAAGAGAAAGACCCCAAGTACTGGAGGGACCAAGCTCAACAGACCCTGAAAAATGCCCTAAGGCTTCAGAAGCTCAACACCAACGTGGCTAAGAATGTCATCATGTTCCTGGGAGATGGTGAGGCCTGGGGGCCCGAAGGAGAGGGCTGGGTGGGGGCACCCAGGGAAGGGCCTGGGGAGCCAGGCTGTGTTGAAGAGGCTGGGGCCCTGGGAGGCATGTTTAAAGGGGATGGGGGTCCAGGCTGTGGACCCAAGAGGTCTGCTCTGCCAGGCGGTCCCTGAGGGTCTGGGGAGGGAAGGGAGAAAGGGGCCTCCTGGTCACATTTACAGAGCCGTGCTCCAGTGCCCACTGCCCAGCCAGGCCGGGCAAAACTAGAATTCTATAGGTGCCCGAGATGGAGAGGCGGGGAGCCCGAGAGACTGAGGCGCCCCCTTCCCCTGCCGCAGGGATGGGTGTTTCCACGGTGACGGCCGCCCGCATCCTCAAGGGTCAGCTCCACCACAATCCCGGGGAGGAGACCAGGCTGGAGATGGACAAGTTCCCTTACGTGGCCCTGTCCAAGGTGAGCTCCGGCCCCAAGCCCGCAGCACCGAGGAAGGGCAGGGGAATCCAGCCTGCGGCCTAGGCGGTCAGCCCTCCTGGGGTCTCCGTGGGCCCCCCTGTGAAATGGGCATGGCAGCAGCTGCTTCCCGAGACTTTATTTTGAGGGTTTTAGTCATTGATTTAAAAATCAATTGAAGTATGAAGCGCACAGAGGAGAGCGTGCATGCGCCAGCGTATAAACCGCACGTGTCCGTATGACCAGTGTCCAGGCTGCGACACTGAACATGACAGCCGCCGAGAGTCCCCCAGCTCTCCTCCAGTCCCTCGTTCCACCCCCCACCCGACGCCCACTGGCTTCCGACACCGCAGATGAGCTGCTCTGCTTTTGTCCTTGCTGTCGACGGAATCGCGCAGTTTATATGCTTCCGCGCCGGATCCGTTGTGTTCGTTCTCTCCCCAGGCGCCTCCGGAAGTGAATTAGATTTCTCCCTACGGCTCTTGCTGCTGGGGTCGTAGGGGCTGGTGCTGGTGGTGCTCTGTGATACTGATCCTCTGGACCCTCTGGGTCAGGCCCAGGGCTCACTGCTGGGGGAATGGCAGGGCCTGGAATGTTCTCCGTGGCTCTCAGGCTGGTGGGAAGGAAGACGGGCAAATAGTTTCAGGGTCTCAGCTAGAAGTCTGAATGGGGGAGGGGGGCTCTTCCCCATTTCCTCCGTTCTAGATCTTGCTTCTCTTCCCTTTTCCTTCCTTTTCCCCAGCCTCCCTCACCTCGCTTTTTCAAGAACTCAGCAGCCCTGTCGCCCCCTCCTTACCCCCCTCCCTGCCGCTCAGGGACTTACTTGCTTCCCCCTCCCCGTTGCTGGTTCCCATAGCCCCAGACCCTGAGGAAGGCCTGAGTGACCAGCCCCCACTCCTCTGCATGTTGGAGGGTTGTATTCACCCCTTCCTGCTGCCCTGGCTGCCAGGGCACAGGGAGTGGGGGCAGGAAGCTGGCAGCCAGGTGATGCTGTGGCTCTGGGGGACCTCTGCAGGTAGCAGGGCTCAGCCAAGGCCATAGGAGGCCTCTGTCTCCATCATGCCCCAGCCCCCACGGTGTGAGTGGGGGTGACGTGAAGGCCACCAGCAAGGCCCGGCCGACTCCTGCCCCTCCTTTCCCACCTGCAGACATACAACACAAACGCTCAGGTCCCGGACAGTGCAGGCACCGCCACTGCCTACTTATGTGGGGTCAAGGCCAACGAGGGCACCGTGGGGGTGAGCGCAGCCACCCAGCGAACCCAGTGCAACACAACTCAGGGGAACGAAGTCACCTCCGTCCTGCGCTGGGCCAAGGACTCTGGTGAGTGGGGGTAGTGGCAGGGAATGGGGCCCAGCTGTATTTGGGTCTCAGTCTGCCCCACTGTATAATGGGGAGAGGGCAGAGAAAGATGCTCTCCAGGGATCTTCCAGCTTTGATGTCTGGGCATCTGTGAGATATTCATGGGACCCCTTCCATGACAGGGTGGGCTAGTGGCTTAGGGGGTTACTCAGCTGTGGTTCTGGTCCCGGCTCATTTCCCTGAGTCTATTTATTTGACTATAAAACAGGCATGAAAACCTTGCCCCCTCATACATCTGGTGTGAGGAAAAGGTAAGGGACGTAGCCCGGTGGGAGTTCAGTGTCTACTTCTCCCTTCTTCTCCCTGGAAGCAGGGGAGGCCCTGGCCCGTGTCCCAGGAACTCTGGGGTCAGAGTATGAGGCTGACTGGGAAAGTGACAGAGCCACACCACCCGAGGGCCCCTAGGAGAGCCCCTGTGTTCTTGCAGGGGACCCAGGCAGGGTCCGTGGGGTGTGTGATGGAGGGGAGGATTCTGGCTCAGGTGCTCACAGCTTGAGGGCTCTCAAGAAGGGGAGGGCCACAGAGGCAGAGTGTCTGAGCTGTGCTGCCCAGATATTCAGAAGCCACCACTCCCCCTACCAACCCCTTCCTTCAGTACTGGTGGGGAGACTGAGGCCCAGGCAGTCTGTTGAACTGACGGGAAGCCAGTCTTTAGTCAGGAGAGGGAGGGAGAAGGCAGCTGGGACACCCCCATTCCCAGACAAAGCCAACTGTCCTCTCCCACACCCCAGGCAAATCTGTGGGCATTGTGACCACCACGAGAGTGAACCACGCCACCCCCAGTGCCGCCTACGCCCACTCTGCTGACCGCGACTGGTACTCAGACAACGAGATGCCCCCGGAGGCCCTGAGTCAGGGCTGCAAGGACATCGCCTACCAGCTCATGCACAACGTCAGGGACATCGAGGCGAGTGTGGGGGTGCAGCTCAATCGGGCACGGGCGGGCTTGTGAGGCCGGGCCTCTGGTGGGTCTCGGGCCTTGGGCCTCAGGCCTCTGCTGGCTCAGGAAAAGCAGCTCGGCCTGGCTCCCCACACACCTGGGAGGCTCCCAGCCCATTAGGGGATTTGCGGTTGGGGCAGGGAAGCGCTGGAAGCTTTCTCCGCGGTGGGGCCGAGGGATAAACCCTGATGTGGCTATACCACCACACCCCAAGAATCAGGCGCCCAGGGATTATTCTGTAAATTGGAATCTGGCGCTGCACCACCAGCCCCCCACCCCCACACGGGGAAGTAGGGGTGACACAGTGGGCATCTGAGGGGAGTACCTGCCCTGCACACTCACACGTGCACTGACAGGCACGTGTCCCACGCACTCAACTAGCGAACCCAGAGGAAGGGTGGTATGGGCCGTGGTTAGCACAAGCTCTCGTTTTTTAAACTCCCTGGCTTCAAATCCTTGCTAGCTGTGTGACCCTGGGTCAGTTACTTAACCTCTATACCCATTCCTTTTATGGCCCGTTTGTAAAACGTACCTAACTTGTAAGCCCATTGAGAGATCCAAATAAAATAATCCCTCAGAGTTGAGTAAGTCCTGACACCTAGTGAGGGCTCAGAAAGTGGTAGCCTTATGCACGAGCCACATACCCCTGCCCTGCAACATAGCTTCGGCAGACTGAGCAGGCTTAGGCGTGCAGGTGCACACCTACAGCCCAGATACTGCCCACGTGGTGCTCAGAGGGGTCCCTACTCTGTTCTTACATGAGAATGTCCAGCTGTTCTTTTTTTAGGCTCTTGTTACCCCACTGCTGGGGTCTGGTGAGGGGGCAAGGGGACTTTAGCTCCCTGAACCTAAAATGGGGTTTCGGCGAGACTCAAAGAAAGCCCCCGGGTCCCACCTACACCTCACCTGCTTCTACCACCACCAGACACCAGCCAGTTTGCACTGGCTCCCAGACCTGCCTCTGTCCCCCATGCAATGCTTCCCCCCAGCCTCCAAGGCCCTTCTACCCACCCATGACTTCCTTTTCCCAGGCGGTGGGTTGAGCACCCCATTTCAGGACCAACAGTCCCGTTGATCCCTCCTCGTGAGCCTGTATCTGTATCTGAGCCTCTGTCCTGGTTTTGCCTCCACCTGACGCGCATCCTGGGGCAAGCTGCTTCTCTTTCCTGAGCCTCAGTTTCCCCACCTGTGCAACAAGACTAGAGAGCCCCACCTGCCCCCTCCCGGGGCCGCTGGAGGCCGAGATGAGGTCATGGATGTGAGAACATTTGTTGTACAAGTGCAGGGTGTAATTACGGGGCTGCTCCTTGGGGAGATGTGCCAGGAACAGCCGGAGAGGGGGACAGGAGCTTAGGGAAGAGTTCTCCATGGGGTGAGGGTGGACGGGGGTCCTCAGGCCGCCGGGGCGTCAGCTGGGGCATGAGTGAAGAGGTGGGCCAGGGTGAAGACTGCCCTCCTTCCTCTCTCCTCTCGCCCTTTTCCCTCCCGTCCGCTCCTGCATCTCAACCTTCCCAAAGCCCCCCAGCCCCCCGGCTGCACATGAAACACAACTCCTGGTGTCCGCCCTGAAAATAAATATCTTTTGCTAAAAAAAAAAAAAGGAAAGAAAGAAAGAAAGACACAAACCCAAACCCCAAAGCCAAACAGCAAGTCTGTTATTTGGGAGTTTAATGAGCGTGTGAAGTCCCTGCTGGGGCTGGAAATGATGAGGCTCCAGGCAAGAAGATTGGGGGCTTCATTTTCCACTCTGAAAATGCCAAGGGGTCAGGTTCTGTGGGAACAGGGGTGGGGAGCCGGGGCCGGTGACCCGGGGTCCCCTCTCCTTCCCCTCGCAGCCTGCCCTGCCCCCAGAGCTCCTGGCTGGGGCTGGCAGTGAGGAACTCGCCTCTCTGGAAATACTCTGATATCCACTACTTCTGGTAACGAGAACACTGCCCACTGGGGCTGCACCCGGGTGCTGGGACTATATCGCATCACTGCATTTCCTTCCTTAGCAATCCTGTGGGTGGTTGTTACTTCCATTTTACAGATAAGGAAACCGAGGCTCAGAGAGGTGAAGTGACCGGCCCTTGGTCAGTAAGCAATAGAGTCAGAGTCAAACCCAAGTTGGACTTCCAAGCCCGTGCCCTTTCCAGCTCCCCGAGACCCAGGGTGGCCGCGGGTGCCATCCCCACCTCCACCGTCGGCCCGGACCCCTGGGTTCTGAGGAGGGAATGAAGCGGAAGGGCGAGAACAGTACTAGGAAATGCCAGGCCTGGGACAGTGGAGCTGAGGCCAGCCATGGCCGGGTTCTGCTCTCCCAAGGTGTCGAGGGGCGGCGGCCTGGCCTGGCGCCCGCGGTGACAGGAGGACACCGGTGTGGCGGTCACCGCAGGCGGCGGCTGTTGTGTTCTTGGCCCCATTTTAAAAATAGTCAGGACTTCAAACATGGACTCCCAAGGAAAACAAACAGTCCCGCGTCCGTCCGCCCGCGCACGCCAGCCGTGGTGAGTAAAATTAGCCTGGCGGGGACTACACAGACGTGAGCACCGGCCACTGTTTGCCCAGGCTTCCAGCTGGGCTGTCCCGAGACCTCCCTGGCAGAGGCCTCTCGCCTGTGGCATTCTGTCTCCCACAGGGGAGAGGAGGCTCTTGGAGGCCCTGTCCTCGGCCCTGCAGATGCACCAGGATCCCAGTGCTGGGGTCAGGGAAGCCTCATGATCAAATCCTGGCCGTGTCCCTTACTGTGTGGCCTTAGGGGAGAAAGATCACATTTCTGTTCCTCTTTCTTTAGTTGGAAAATGGGGACACAGGTTCCCCTGCAGCCTTGGTATGAAGTGGATTAAGATAATGTATCTGAAGGGGCACCTGAGTGGCTCAGTTGGTTAAGCGTCCGACTTCGGCTCGGATCATGATCTCGCGGTTCATGGGTTTGAGCCCGCGTCGGGCTCTGTGCTGACAGCTCGGAACCTGGAGCCTTGCTTCCGATTCTGTGTCTCCCTCTTTCTCTGCCCCTCCCCTGCTCACTCTGTGTCTCTCTCTCTCTCTCTCAAAAATAAACATTTTAAAAAGTTAAAAAAAAAAAAATGTACCTGGAGTGTTTAGTACCTGACATGCAGTTAGTCCTCTGTAGACATGTTATCTTATGCAAGTGGGAGCTGAGTCAGGCTTCTGGAAAACCAAGTAGGAGAAGTTACCAGTACCTCTAGTATTTCACCCAGAAGCCCCAAACCATGGTCTCAATAGACTCATGATTTCATCTCCCCGCTTGGAAAAGCAGAGGCTCAGGGCAGGCAGTGTGGACTGGAACCAAGACTCTCCAAGCTGGAGGGGCACCTGGGTGACTCTGTCGGTTAAGCGTCCGACTTCGGCTCGGGTCATGATCTCACAGTTTGTGGGTTCGAGCCCCGCATCAGGCTCTGTGCTGACATCTTGGAGCCTGGAGTCTGCTTCGGATTCTGTGCCTCCTTTTTCTCTCTGCCCCTCCCCCACTTGTGCTCTGTCTCTATCAAAAATAAATAAATGTAAAAAAATAAAAAAAGACTCTCTAAGCTGGAGAAGCATTCACACTATTCCCGGTGTCTTTAGGAGCCCAGCTCTTGAGGCTTGGAACCCTGGGGTACTGATGTTTCCTGTCCCCTTTAGGTGATCATGGGGGGTGGCCGGAAGTACATGTTCCCCAAGAATAGAACCGATGTGGAGTATGAGATGGACGAGAAGGCCAGGGGCACGAGGCTGGACGGCCTGAACCTCGTTGACATCTGGAAAAGCTTCAAACCGAGACACAAGGTAACCCATTGAGGGGCCAGGTGGCTGCAGGAATGGGGCTCTGGGGAACCTCTCTCTGAATCTCAGTTTGTTTCTTCCTCTGTAAGTGGGGGGTCATAATTCTTACCTTGAGGGGCTCCGATGATCTAACAGATACATGAATGGCACATAATACATGCTCAATTAATCCCTCCCTTCAGAGGAGGGCACCCAGGAGAACTAGGCAGTGAAGAGAGGGGGCCAGAGAGTCACCTGCATGGACATTGAGGCCGCTTGAGACCCTACTGTGTGTGGGACCCCTCGCCGGGCATGAATTCCAAGGGATGAATCAGATGGTCAAAGGAATGTGGATCTCTGTGTGCTTGGATGGCTGGAAGCCCAGGACCTACGGGAACCCAGAGGGGACAGACCACAGGGAGGGGCTGAGAAGCCTTGAGGAGGAGGAGGAGTAGAGGAGGAGGTGGCAGGAAGGGGAGGGTGTGAGCCACGGTGGGAGGTGGAAGCCGTCCATCTTGAGTTGGCTTTGGCCCTGGTGAGGGCACGTGCTGGGGACGGGAGGCTGGAGCGTTGGAAGGGCCTGAGCGCTGGCTCCCTGGAGTGGTTCTGGCGGCCGCTGGGCCTGGGGCAGCTGGGGTCTGGAAATGACTGTGGTCAGGGCTGAAGACAGTGGGGAGCAGCCTGGGAGCCACTTTGATGTCACTCTGGGGTTGGGTTTCTGAGGGTTCCAGGACTGGCCCCCAGGGAGGCCTTGTGGGATGGGGCTGGGCCAAGAGTGAGGTGGAGGCAGGGGCCTGGGGATGGCCCCCACAGGGTAGATGAGGGTGGGACTGAGCCGCTTTGAACCTTTTCTGTTCCTCTGAGTCAGCTCTGGCCGGGCCGAGCCCCTTCCTGGCCCAAGCCAGAAAGACACTGCCCCTCCCAGCCTCAGTTTCTTTGTGCGGGACATGGGGCTAGGATTTAGTCCTTCTGGCCTGGGCAGGTGCTTAACCCTGGAGCTCAATCTGGACTCCAAGAGGGAGAGACAGGACCCACACCAGTCAACGGACAGGGTGTCCCTGTGGGTTCCCAGGTAGGCCATACATACCTCGAAATTCATGCCTGAACAGTGGATGCTGAAGTCAGACTCCCAGTGGCTCTGTCATCTGTGACTCAGTATCCTTGTCTGCAAAATGGGAATAACAGTATCTCCCTCGTAGGGCTGACGTGAGACCTGAATGAGGTCACACAGGAGAACCAGCTCAGCAAAGCGGGGGTGGGGAACCCCACTTCCTCAGCCTTCCCGCCCTCCTTCCCTAACAGTCACTGAGGCTCCAAAACCACAGATCCCAATGCCATTGCCCAGAGAAGGCAAGGGGCTGTCCTGAGGATGCACAGCTGAGTCTTGGCGGTACTGTAGCCCCTGGCTCTGGTGCTGAGTGGTGACATCTCCAGTTAAGTCAGCCAGCCTCTTCCTGCGGCCTCTGTCCTGGGGAAGCAGCACTTCCTTTATCAGCCTCTTAGATGAGGTTGCTGGGGGAGACCTAGGGTTTTACTTCCTCCTTAGCTCTCCATAGCTTCTAGAACACACACAGCCCACACCCCTCAGTGGGTGCTCAAGGCCCCTGGTGACCTGCACCTTCCTCTTCTTGGCTCCATGATCCCTCCCTGCTATTTGAAACTCTCCTCCCTGACCCCAGGCTGATCGATGGCTTCTTGTCCTCCAGGGCCCCATTAGGACATCACCTGCGCCAGGAGGCCCTCCCTGATCCTGCCTCTGGGCCCACAGTGCCCCCTGGTCTCTCGGAATTCTCTTCCCTTGCATTAGAATTGCCTATATGTCATTTCTTGAAGGCAGAGATGGGAGGTCCTCAGGGAGGGGTTAGTAAATGACTGAAGGAAACAAATATGTGCCCCGGTCCCTGAGACCCACTGGGCTCTGTCCTCCCAACCCCCCAGCTCCCACGTGGCTGACACTGGCCTTTCCTCCTAGCACTCCCACTATGTCTGGAACCGCACCGAACTCCTGACCCTTGACCCCTACAGCGTGGACTACCTCTTGGGTAAGTGGAGGGTGTGGAGTAGGGGACACCCAGCTGGGTGCCCTGGGGCTGGGGCTGTGAGTCCAGCACCTGAGGGGCCAAGGTCCCAGCCCTCCCTCTACTTAGGGACCTTTGCTCCCAGGTCAAGGACCTGGGAGAGGTGAGGAAGGGGGTCTGGTTCATAGAACTGGGCCTGAAATCTGCTGGCTGTGCAAAGTGAACGGTTCCGTTGAGCACAAAGGAAAAGTAACGCTCAGGTAGGGGAAGGGACCTGTGGCATCTCACTCATCTCATTAACATCAGGGCCCAGGTAAATCCAAACCCCGGCTGGGGTAGGAGGCCTGGAGCCAGCCCTGCTGTGTGGCCAGGGCAGAAGCCGGCCGGGTCGTCTCTGCTGGTCTTGACTGGGGGATGTCCCCCGGGGAGTGGGGAGCCAGGGCCCTGGTGAGGTGGAATGAGGCCCTGAGCACCACCACGCCGACACCTGGGTCCCCTTTCCCACCTGGCTGCTGTGCCCAGTGAGTGGTGGCAAAATTTCCTACAAACCTTTTCCAAAGAGCATACCTCTAGGTCCTGGGTGTATCATTGGAGGTTATGGGCTCAAAGCTGGGCACCTGGGAGGATCCCCTAGACAGACCACACACACACACAGCCCTCTGCTTGCCTGGGTCACACAGCACACACCCTATAGCACACACAGGTGTGTAGAGTTATACATGTTCCCATGCAGCACAACAGGCCCACTCATGGATCTTAGAGCCAGAGTGCTGGGTTCAAATCCCACTCTACCACATATGAGCTCTGCAACCTTGAGCGGGTGGTTTCTCCTTTCAGCGCCTCAGTTTTCTCTTCTGTAGAGTAGGAATAATGTAAAATGAGGCTAATGATGGGGCCTACCTCAGGGCTGCCATGAGTACACGTGAGCCAATGCACTGTGTAAATTACTTGTTGGAGCGACTGGGTGGCTCGGTTGGTTGAGCAACCGACCGACTTTGGCTCAGATCATGATCTCGCCATTCTGGAGTTCGAGCCCCGCCTCGGGCTCCGTGCTGACAGCTCAGAGCCTGGAGCCTGTTTTGGATTCTGTGTCTCCCTCTCTCTCTGCCCCTCCTCCACTCATGCTCTGTCTGTCTGTCTGTCTGTCTCTCTCAAAAATAAACATTTAAAAAATAAATAAATAAATTACTTGTTACCGTGTAGTAAACGATCTCCAAACTTAACAGTTTAAAATACGAGTTAACATTATTACTTCACACAGTTTCTGGGGGTCAGGAATTTGGGAGCAGCTCCCATGGGTTGCAGTCTCCACTGGGTCTCCCTTGAGGTTGCAGTCATCCGAAGGCTTGACTGGGGCTGGGGCTTCCGTAATGGCTCACTCCTAAGGTTCGCAAGTTGGCGCAGGCTGTTGTCAGGAAGCTTCAGTTCCTCGCCACATGGAGCTCTCCATAGAGTTGCAGAAGTGTCCTTATAACATGGCAGCTGGCCTCCCTCAGAAGAGTATGCACGGCTAAGGCTGTAATATTTTATGCCCTGGCCTGGAAGTCACATACCATCATGTCTGCAGTATTCTGTTGGACACACAGGATAGTCTTGGTGTGGGAGGGGACACACAAGGGCGTGAATTCCAGAAGACGGGGACTATTGGGTGCCATCTTGGAGGCTGGCACCCATGTGCTTCCAAAGCACTTAGGACGGCCTGTGGCACACGGTGAGCATTCTGTCCATTAGAGCTCTTGCTTGACTGTGCCCCCACTCACAGAAGGGGTAAGGTGTTCTAAAAGAACATCTAGGACTAGAAATACCACCCCGGTACATGTGGAATCTTGTGACATGATCAAAGAATGGACCAGTCTTATTTCACAAGTGAGGAAACCAAGACGTGAGCCAAACCTTCTACCATTTTACCACACAGGACACTATACCCTTCACACCTGACCTGTAAATGACGCGTAGGTGCACACGCAATCTGCCCCCATTGAATCCATGCCCTCAGCCTGGGGGCTGTGGTGCCATGCCTGGAGGCCTTCAGGCTTGGGGCTGGGCTGATGGGCTTAAGTCCCAGATCTCCCACTTAGCAGCCGAAGATACCAAGCTACTGAGCACCGGTGCCTCAGTCTCCTTCTCTGTAAAATGGACTTCGGTGAGCCCTTCCCCATAGTGTGGCTGCAAAGGTAAAAGGAGGCATGTTCTCAAAGCACTGGGCACATTTGGGCCCACAGGAGCTTCTCCCTGCCCCCCTGCTTGCTCTCACCCCAAGCTGTATGCGCCCAACCTGCGTTCCCTGAGATAGCCCGGGCTCCTTCGGGGCCCTCCTTGCAGAGTCATGAGAACTCACCATCCATATCGTCCTGTGCCCTCAGGTCTCTTTGAGCCGGGGGACATGCAGTACGAGCTGAATAGGAACAGCACGACTGACCCGTCACTCTCTGAGATGGTGGAGATTGCCATCAAGATCCTGAGCAAGAACCCCAAAGGCTTCTTCTTGCTGGTGGAAGGTATGGCCCCAGGTTTGGCCTCAGGGCCACTTCCCGGGGAGCTTCCTGGGGTCGGGGGATGGGGTAGACAGCTGTCTACTTTTGGGGGGAAGGAGATTCCTTTTGGGGAAGATGGGGTACGCAGGGTGTTGAAGCCCCCAGCCCAGCAAGCCCTTCTCCTTTGGGCCTGAGGATGGCCCGTCAGGCTGACTAGTCCAAGAAGACTTCCCAGGAGCCTTCCCCCGAGGCCCCTGAGCTTCACTCCTTCCAAAAGACAAATTAGTAGGCCCTGATGGACCCCCCTGCATCTGAGCGGCTGCCTGGCTGGCCTCAAGGAACAGGCCCGGGGTCCTCGTCCACACACGCCCATCAGTCTGCGGGAACCCTCAGCTGGATGGTGCGTATCTGCCGTTCCTAGGCACGTGTGGGGCCAGCGTCAGATTCGTGAGTCCTGTGCCTGAAAGGAGACCCAGGGCAGGCCCTGGGATGTCCCGGGTCCCCCAGATTGGGACAGCCAGAACTTTGGGGATTGGCAGTGCTGCGTACCAACGTTCACAGGGTTTCCCAGCGCTGATGGGAAGCACTGGAGTCGGGCTTGTGTTCTTTGCTGCTGCGGCCTCTACCTGTACATTTCTGTAAAATGAGGCCAAAAATAGTCTTCGAAGTGTTATTAGCATCCATTGCGTTCAGAGACATAAAGTACTTGGAACAGGGCCCAGCAGAGAATAAATCTTCCGTGTTTCTATTATTACCATTATTATGATTACACAATAGCTAAGTCAATAACAATAGGAAGTGTGAGGAAGTGATAAAGTTTCCGGAATCTTCCAAAGTTCTAATAGCCATTGTCTTCTGTGGTTCCTGATGTTGCCTCACTGAACTCTAGAGGTACACACACACACACACACACACACACACACACACTTGCACATATACTCTCACCACACATATACACACACTCAGGCCCCTCTGCCTTCCAGAGGCCAGTGGCAGCCAAGCCGGCTTGGCCGCTTTCTCGCCAAACCCCAGGGTTCCCACTTAAGCATGGCAGGTCTCAGCCTGGCCTGAACAGGCCTCTGACGCCAAGGACCCAGCCAGGAACCAATGGTGGTGAGCACAGGCTCCCCTGGGAGCATTTCTCTTTGTGACTGCTCCCAGAGCCACAACAAAGGGAGGACCCACCCTGCCAGCCTGCCAGGCCAGAGTGGTGAGGCTCAGGCCAGTGGGAAGGGAGGGCGGCCAGGCCGCCCCGGCTCAGGACCCTCAGAGTTGGGAGTGTCCACTCAGGCATCCTTCTCCTGTTAGAGACAAGGAGGGGTCCCCTCAGGTCATGTAGCCCTGAGCCATGACCTTTAAAGCCAGGCTCAAAGCCAAGCATCTTGCGCTCATATAGGAGAGGCGGCACAGGATCCAGGCTTCAGAGGCCTTTATGAAGGCTTGCCACGGGCACTGAGAATGAGAGTCGTGCCTGAATTCAAATCCCGCTACGCCCACCTTGGTCGCGTCACTTCTGCCCCCAGGCCTCATTTGCTCCATCTGTAAATGGGGCCGGTTGTGCCCATTTCTGCCCAGGATTGTTGTTACGGGGAAATAAGACACCGGCTTGCTGTGCCTGGCACTCGGTAGGACCTCAGGCTTGCTGGTTCCCTTCTCTGTCTGTCTGAGGTCTCAGACTCCTTCAAGCAGCTGAAGATGCTGCCCTGAGAGCCCCATGGGGTCACAGACAGAGCACAAAGTTTTCAGTCAGGTGGATCTGGCTTTGCTCTCTCTGTGCATGAGCCCTTGGTCTACAGCCTACCTTCTCTGAGCCGCTGTAAAGGTTGAACGCCGCATAAAGTGCCTGGCGTGGTACACGGGGCCCATCAGAGAAAGGTTAATCCAGCAGTAGTGTGGTGGGGCCTGGGGGCACCGATCTTCCGTCCCCTTCACCCGAGCCCTCTGCCTCGGTGTCTCAAGGAGGCAGGATTGACCACGGGCATCATGAAGGCAAGGCCAAGCAGGCGCTGCATGAGGCAGTAGAAATGGACCAGGCGATTGGACGGGCAGGCGCCATGACGTCCGTGGAAGACACACTGACCATCGTCACTGCAGACCACTCCCATGTCTTCACTTTCGGCGGGTATACCCCCCGTGGCAACTCTATCTTTGGTAGGTGGGCCGCTGTTGGGGTGGACACGGGGCACTCCCAGGGCTGCCCGTCTGGGAGCAGGCGCAGGGTGGGAGAGCCAGCAAGCTCGGGGCCTGGCCCGTGTGGGATCCATGAGAATTGGGTAGGACAGAGAAGTTACGGATGGGTGGGGGGTGTAGGGTCAAGCGCATGCGTGGGTGGATGGGTGGCTACCTGTGTGATGGGTGGATAGAAGAATGAGAGGATGGATGGATGGACTGGTGAGGGCTGGGTGGATGGACAGACGGACAGGTGGAATACCAGATGAGGGGGATGTGGGCACAGTGAAAACCGAGGGGTGGTTAGTTGGAAGTAAGCCAGGTTTAGAAGGTGGCTCCATGGAGTAGTTCAAAGGGGACTTGAGGGTTGCCAGGCTGGGGCTTGGGGACTCCAACATGACTCCGGGGCCAATGCCTTTCTGTGCAGGTCTGGCCCCCATGGTGAGTGACACAGATAAGAAGCCCTTCACCTCCATCCTGTATGGCAATGGGCCTGGCTACAAGGTAGTAGGTGGTGAGCGAGAGAACGTCTCCATGGTGGACTACGGTGAGATTGTCACAGTCCAGAGCTGGGAGGGGACACGGTGCCCCTTGGGGATGGGCTTGGGAACCCTGCAGGCTCCCTGTAGGAGACCCCAAGGTCAGGGGTCTCCTAAGAGCCAGGACTTGAGTCAGAGCAATCCCAGTTCAAACCCCCTTGTACGATCGAGCAGCTCTGTGACCTTGGGCATGCAACGTGGTCTTCCCCAGCTTCCCTTTCCTCCTTAAAAGAATTCTAGCTCCCAAGGTTGTCTGAAGGACTAACTGGGTCTGAGGAGCTTCGTGTAGTGCCTGGCACATGCAGGTGCCTGCTGTGTTACACTACCATCTTTATGGGCTATATAATATTCCAAAATCTGAGCCTTCTCAGTGTATTCATCTGGTTCCCTCCTGTTGAATATTCATTTGCTCATGATGGCCCCAGTAGCCCATGGGGGTCTAACTGTGCAGCCAATGGTAGGAGGCTCTCCCGGGTTGACTGTTCCCTTCTAATTGAAACAGCCCAGCTGAGGTTGATTTTTCTCTTCTGGGGGTTGAGGGTACAGGCTTCTGTGTCAGAACGGACTCAGGCCCAAATCCCGTGGCCTTACACAAAATGACTTCCCGGCACTGAGCCTCGGTTTCCTCCTCTATGAAACGAGGGCATGTGAACCAGCCTGAAAGAGCGGGGGGGAAGTGGCTGCAGACTGCCAGTCCCCTGGCAGGCTCTCAGCAAGTGTTTCTTCTGGCCCACAGCTCACAACAACTACCAGGCGCAGTCTGCTGTGCCCCTGCGCCATGAGACCCACGGTGGGGAGGACGTGGCGGTCTTCGCCAAGGGTCCCATGGCGCACCTGCTACATGGCGTCCACGAGCAGAACTACATTCCCCACGTGATGGCTTACGCGGCCTGCATCGGTGCCAACCTTGACCACTGTGCCTCGGCCAGCTCGGCAGGTGGCCCTTCACCGGGTCCCCTGTTCCTCCTGCTGGCCCTGCCCTCCTTGGGCATCCTGTTCTGAGGGCCCGTGGCCCAGGCACCCACTAGCCTATGACAGATGGCCAGCCTCCCTCTCTCAGCACTGCCCACCACCTGGGAGCCCACACCTCAAGGGCTGGGGAGGCGGGGGGCCTTCACAGCCTCAACAGCTGCCAGAAAGAGGACCCAGGAAACCAAAGTCTGCTGCCCGCCTCGCTCCCCTCTGGAATCCTCCACTGGCACCAGACCCATTCCTGGCCTCCGGCCTCTGCTCCCTCCCTGCTGCCCCTTTGGCCAACAGAGTAGGTTTCTCTTGGGCAGGCAGAGAACACAGACTGCCGAAATTCTCAAAGCATCTTATTTTTCTAGCAAACATATTTCTCCAGGCCTGGAGGCCCCGAAGCTTCCATGGAACATTCCGGATCTGACCTTCCCACTCCCCTCCCCTCTTGGAACCACCAGGCCCCATCATGCTCATGTCCCTACCCGCAGGGGAGACCGAGTCCTTCCCTGCAGGATGGGGGTTTGCTCACTCATTCCGAGGCCGCCAGGGGCTCCCAGGAAGTAAACTGGGACTGGCCATCCAACCCCAGGGTGGCCGGACACTTCCCAGCTCTTAACACGCACGCCCACTCCTCTCTGAAGCGACACCCCTGTTTGGAATGGCAAATTTTTCTTTTTTTCTCTTTTTGGTGTTGGTTAAAAGGGAACACAAGACATTTAAATAAAACTTTCCAAACATTTCTGAGGACAGAACTGAGTCTTTGTGGTCAGTGAGGAAGAGAATGAAATAAGCTTGTTTCTCTGGGAAGAATTGGACTCCGGGCCCAGGAGGGCAGATGGAGTCCGGCGGGGAGGAAGGGGCGTCCTGCTGACCCAGGGGCTTCTTCACTCGTTACCTGCGTGACTTTGGACAAACTGCTTTGTATCTCTGTGTCTCCGTCTTCTTAGCTATAGAATGGGACGCAGTCCGGTCTGGGTTGCTATGAGAGAAAAGTATGCCTCTGGGCCCTGAAACTCACAGCAAGAAGGCCTTCAAGGGCCCTGTGACACTCTTGCCACACAGCTCCGACAGACAGAGCTCCGTGTCCTGGTCCAGTGGAGCCGTTCGTTCGTTTGTTCGTTCATTCATTCATCCAGTAAATCCAGTTGGCCCTTGAACAAGACAGGTTTAAATTGCATGGGTCCACTTACATGCAGATTTTTGGGGGATAAAGACAGGAAATGTATTTTCCTTAAGATTTTATTTTCTTTTTTTTAAAGATGATACTTTTTTTTTTTTATGTATTTATTTTGACAGAGAGAGAAAGAGAGAGGGGAAGGGGCAGGGAGAGAGGGAGACAGAGAATCCCAAATAGGCTCCATGCTGTCAGCGCAGAGCCTGATGTAGGACTCGATCTCACGAACTGTGAGATCATGACCTGAGCCGAAATTAAGAGTGGGATGCTCGACCGATTGAACCACCCAGGTGCCCCTCCTTATGTTTTTTTTTTTTTTTAAATAACATTTCTTTTTCTCTAGCTTACTTTATTGTAAGAATATAGTATACGGTGCATATGATATCAAATATGTCAATTGTTAACATATTTATTTTAACATAATACACACAACATAAATATGTTAACAGTTAATTGACCGTTTTATGTTATCAGTAAGGCTTCCAGTCTTTAGGAGGCTATTTGCTAATTTTGGGGAGGGGGTCACAAATTATACACGGATGTTTTACTGCACAGGGGGTTGGTGCCCCTAACGCTCATGTTCAAGGGTTAATTGTGTTGAGTAGGTGACAGGCACCAGACCAGGTCTTAGGAATTTTGTGGCAAACAACACAGACATGCTCCTTGCCTTCACAGAGCTTCAGCCTAGCTTGGCGATGGTGGTCTTTCCATTCCTGATTATCTGGCCTGAGAACTGGGCTCAGGATTGCACCTGATATTGGGTATACAGGGTTCTCCAAGTCTGCTCCTTGCCTCATTGGAATGATAGTCCCTATAAAGGTAATAATCATAATCGTTAACATTGAACACTTACCAGCTGACAAGCTCTGCTTGGTGATCTATATGGATTCAGTTCATTTGATCCTCACTAGGAAGTAGGCCCCTGTCATCCACATTTATAGATTAAGGAAGCCGAGGGTGCAAGGCGTGGTGTGATTGCTCAAGGTCCCCAGGTTGTGGGGCTGGGATTTGAATCCACGTACATCCGATTCCAAAACCCCTATACTTAATGACATCCTTTGTTTATAATACGTTTCCGACTTCCTGACAACATTCTAACGCAGCCAATACTAGTGACTCAACAGACACTAGTCAAATGTGAACTCAGAAAGATGAGAAACCACGTCAGAAGTGTGCCCTTCTTCAGGGGAGAAAATGCAATCAAGCTGATTTCTCTCTGAACTTTCTGGCAGTCCTGGCAGAAAGGGGAGTCCAGCCACGCCGATGCTGGGAGAGAAAATTAAAACTAAGGGGTGCTTGGGGGCCCCTGGGCAGCTCAGTCGGTTAAGCATCAGACTCTTGATTTCAGCTGAGGTCATGAACTCACAGTTTGTGGGTTCAAGCCCCACATCAGGCTCTGCACTGACAATGTGGAGCCTGTTTCAGATTCTCTCTCCTCTCTCTTTGTCCCTACTCCGCTTGCACTCTCTCTCTCTCAAAATAAATAAACTTAAAAAAAAAAAAAACTATGGGGCACTTGGGTGGCTCAGTCAGTTAAGCATCTACTCTTGATTTCAGCTCAGGTCATGATCTCTCAGTTCGTGGGTTCAAGCCCCATGTCGGGCTCTGTGCAGAATGTGGAGCCTGCTTGGGATTCTCTGTCTCCGTCTCTCTCTGTCCTTTCCCTTCCCTTTCTCTCTCTCTCTCTCCCTCTCTCTCTCAAATACATACACATTAAAAAAAATTAAAACTACATGCGTACATTCTTGCCAGGGCAAAAACACAACTACCACCTTCACAATTTATATGTTATCTCTACTATTATGTCCTAAACAGTTGTTTAAATCCACACGGGAGCTGTTGAGCTTTAAACGTTCCCCAGTACCACCTGAAGTCAGCTTACATGTCTCCAGGATGTGCAAGCCATACTTTGTGTCTTGGGTTGGGCTTTCCAAAGGCAGACCCTGAGAAAAGAATTTGTGCACCTGCGGTTTGTAAAAGGAACCCAGGAGGCACCAGGCGGAGAGTGGGGAAGTGGGACAGGAGAAGGAGGGAAGCTGATAAAAGGTAAGTTATGTAGCAGCTCGCCATCAGGGGCAACCAGGACTCAACCCCCGCCCCTGCCCCCCGCCCCGGGGCCACCAGGAGGCCCAGCAGAAGACACCCTCCATCCATCCTCCTGCCGGCAGGTGAGGGAGCTGTGGCGTTTACTCACCAACTCTCATCCTTCATTGGCCAAGGGCTGCTCCCGGAAAGATGACAGCTCGGCACTTCCAACCTGCCCGTGAAGGGCTGAGGGAAAGCCCCCGGGCACGTGCTGGGACATTAAATGCTCAGAGGACACAAACAGGGCACCAGTAGTATCTGTTTAACTTTGCGATACACGGAGGAGGCTAAAAAGCACGGACTGTGGGTCAGAGAGACGGGGGTGCCTGCCTCTGCTCCATTGCACTGTCGTTTCTATGAACGGGGCAAGTTCTTTCACTTTGCTGCTCTTCCATTCCTACACTGGAATGGCAGTCAGTACCCACAGCACAAGGGTTTCCAGAACAAAGAAAGGATGGCAAATCCACATGTATTCATCCAGATAACCCTGCCTTCTGTGAAAGATAAATCCGGAACTTAACCCAGGAAGAGTTTATTTCTATCTTAAACATCTGGTGCCTCTGGTCGGGCGCCTGGGACCCAGGCTCTTTCCACCTCGTAGTTCTGCCTCCTCCAAGTCCGGGATGCACCATCTCACTGGGACTACCGAGGTTCTGCGTGAGCAGCACATCGATGGGGGGGACCCTCTTTTTAGCCACTTCTTCCTGGAAGTGCCACACATCACCTCCACTCATGGTCCATTGGTAAGAAGTGGTCACATGACCACCCAGATGCAAAAAAGGCTGAGTAGTGACATCTTCAGCTTTGGAGCAGGTTTCCAACCTCAGCATTATTGACTCTCGGAGCTTATGCTCACTCACTCCCCAGACATCACTACATCCTCAGGGTGTTTGAAAACGTTGGGAGATTTCACATCACGTAATATTTGGACTTCTGGCTTTTTCGAGAAATTGGAAGGTCTGGCTGGCACGGCTGCACGTTTCTGCAGGGCAGTGGCTGATCTGAGCCGAGAGATGGCGGCCCATCCAGCGTGTGGCTCTCCTGTTTGCCACCGTCCCCAGCACTCAAGGAACTCACACTAAGCCCCTTTCGGCCAGGTGGAGACAGAGCTCGGGATCCTTGCCTGTGAACGGGCCGTGGTTCTGTCCTTGGAAAGCTCACATCTCACAAGATGGCCAGAAGCAATCCCAGTGCACAGGCGAAGCAAGGAGCTGTGGGGGCAGCTAACCAGCAGGGGGCACGGTGGGGCGGGCACTGAGGCAGAGAGGGCAGCAAGCAGGCTGGGGCCTGACGGGCCAAGGAGCACTGAGGCAGAACGTGGGGGTACGGAGAGGATTCCAGAGGAGACCTTGTGGGGACAGATGGGCAGGAAGGTCTCGAATGCCATTCCAAGAAGCTGGAGGTGAACGAAGACCCTGGGGAGCCATGGAAGGTTCTGGAGCCTGGGAGTGAGCCTCATTTTTGAAAGATCATCATGGCTGCCCAAAGAAACTGTGACGGTGGACCAGGCAGGAGAAGCTGGGCCCATGGAGAAGGGAAGGGGGAACACACCCCAAATATGTGCCTGAAAGTCCCAGCTCCTACCTGTCCAGAAGGCGGCTGGAGCAGCCGGTGAGTGAATAGTTCGTCAGCAAACTGCGCTGATATTGAGGGACGGAGGGAGCAGCACATCAACTGCAGTGAGGTTGACACCTTGCGGGCACATGTGTCACGTACACGCCCCCCACCATCCTGTGAGGTGGGCAATATCATCCCCATTTCGCAGATGAGAAGGGTGAGGCGTGGCAGAACACAGTGACCTGCTCAGGGCCCATGGCTTGTAAGTGACAGCTGCAAGTTGAACCTAGGTGTGCCTGACTCCCAGCCCGTGTCCCCTCCCTGGCCTCTGGGTGCTAATCCCTTCAAGGAAAACAAGCCAGGCCCCATCAGCCGCAGAAGCCCTTCGATGGGGGAGTAAGAGCCCCAAGCCAGCAGAGTTTATAATTAGCCTTGGTGGCTAACCCAAGACCTCCCACCAAGATCTAGCACCAGCCGATCGGGGGGTGGGGAGGGTGGGCTGGGGAGATTAAGTTCTTAGAAGAGGATTTGGGCTCCCGAGTCTCTGGGTGGCTCCCTGGGGCCTCCTTGTGCTGCCGCTGTG